TGCTCGGTCCTCTGCTGCTAGACACTTGATCCAAATCGAATAGAATTGACGTATTAAAGTTGACGAGGCACAGTTCTGAACATATGTAATCTGCATCGGATTAGCTGAAATAGCGTAGGTAATTCTTATCGAATAGGATTGATGCCCGAACACAGAGGGGGTTTTATCCAAGTGGCACGTGCTTGGCTGTCAGTTCGGTAATGTGCAGCAGTGACTGTTTTGTCATGAATTTGAGAAGGGTTTCGAAGTAAGCAATTACTGATTTTCGTTGAATATGCGATGGGCATAACCATCCGTGTGGTATAAGAAGAACTCAGTATGGCCACATCAAGGGTAAAACAGCAGGGACTTTATTCTTAAAGTCGTATGATGTCTTCTAAAATCGTATGGAATCTTTTGAAGTCCGCAAAGTATGTCGAAGTCCAGTGAGGTGTTCTAAAATCTTAAGAATTGCTTTTCAGTCTTTTGAAACCTGTAGAAATGTCTTGTAATTAATAGATTGAAGTTCATTGAAGTCTTCTAAAGTGATCTCCAATTGTTCAGGGGTCTTTGATAGTCTTTCGAAAACTTGAAGTCCTGTAGTGATGATGCCCGTTGTTGTCTCCTCGATGCAGACCTTTACGATTGTGCATGTGGATGTGGATGTGGATGACTGGGGATACGTGCCTGGATTTAGACATTGACCTGCTTTAAACTTTCAGCAGCAAATACACTCACACCCACACCCATCATGTCCTGTGAGGACACTCCAGAGTGTCTGTCATAACCTGGAGGAAGATGGAGTGAGAATACATCCAAATTTCTTCCATACATACTTCAACACTTCTTTTCGATCGTGTTTCATAAACAGATCACTCATATGAGAAACGCCACATAGCTATATCATTATTCATGACAATGTAATCTCATGAGTCGGCGTTTACAACAGTAGTTTTTATGAAAACAGTAATATGAAATGTAAAATCTTTTTTTTTACAACTTTTTCCAAAACTTTACATGAAAGTCGCATTAGCAGACACCGCTTAATAGAAAATTCTTCTGGAGACTTGATACGCTCCGACCTATTAGAAGATTCGGGGTCTTCTATTGAGGGAGGTTTACACACTTAAAAATTGCGTCAGTGTTTGATACATTTCCAGAAATAGAAACCATTGCACCAAGTAGAAATTGAACTTGAGCAATCATGGACACAAAGGTATTTTATATATCTATATCGTGGCAAATTTCAAGCTTAAAAAATTAACACTAAAACGATACGTATTCCAAGATTCGGTTCACAGGAATTTTATGGACTTTTCTTAACGATTTTGCTCGACGTGATTTTTTAATATAAAAATTTATTTTTTATTTTATGATATTTAATAGCTGCATGGCCAGCAATGAGCATTTTCTTGCTGCCTTTCCAATCAAGCATAAGAAGCTATGTCCAACTTTCGCCGACATTGTACCCGCGTTGATGGTATCCTCGCAGACTGGGACAATTCCATTGTTGACAAATAAACTTAAACGTGTTTTCATAGGTAACGCGCTCACTCATTTTTGACCTTCAGATTATCATAGCTCAATAAATCAAGGTGACAAAGAGCTGAAACTTACATTATATATACATACGTATATAAAAGTTTTAGTTTCGGTTAAATTTTCATTTCGTTTGACTGAACTGTGACAACTCTAGAAGGATAGAAAGTTGTGGTAATGCGCATATTCAAAAGAATCTCTTGCATCAGAGCGATTCATAAAAGCCCACACTTCTCGAAAGTTCCTTGCTCTTAACAAAGTGTTTTAATTTGTGTTTCTTTGACAGTTTGTTCCTACAGAAGAGTCATCACCAAAAACAATGTGATAACGCACCCAATAGTTGGCAGTGTACTCATCGGCTATTTTCTCACTTCCTAATGGCACTTTTTCTTTTACAGTTTTGACAACAACACCAGATATTTCATTGACATGCAACTGTAACTCAAACTTCAACGATACTACTGTTGTTTCTTTTCTTCTAAATGATACGATAGTGTTCGAAATATAACAAAGACAATATGACTCGTTTTCCACTATGTTTTGCACAAAAAACGCTTGATTTTGGCTAGCGACTAGAGTTTATTCTTGTTGTTATTCAAAACAAATGATACATCTGTCAATAGAGAATATAAGAAAACCTATAGAAAAATTTTAAATAAATAAGTTCGATAGCTTTATGTTCAAGAAGTCCTCTACTCAATTTTGCCTATGCATGATCCGTTTTAGATGGAAAAGCTGTTGATATATCAAAAATGGTCGTCAACTTTTATCCTGTAGTGAAGAGAGGACCAAATTACCTCAAGCACTGTGTAGGATTGCTGTCGGAGAAAGAAAAGCCAAATAGTATCAATAGTTGTGTCTGGCAGTATACATCAGCTTAGAACTGGTTTTTCACAAAAATCAACATGGCTCTGGCTACTGATTCGCCCAATTTGATTAAATATGGTCAATACATCAAACAACTGAAGAATTCCATCGGAAAGTCGTCCATGAACTTCACTGGCACTGTATATCGAGGTATGTTATTCCTTTCCACTATAACTCATGAGAACAACCTTAAATCGATCGAGAAACTGATACAAAAGTGAAATATCAGTTTTTTTAAATATGCACATATGAATTAGCATTGTCGAAAACTTCTACATTCAAAGCCTTCAGCGTGATGCTTCGGGAATTAAAATTTAAAATACAATGGAGCTTTTCCAGATGTGAACAAGAGTCTTAATCACATCGATCATATTGTCTCTTTTAATTGGTGAAATAGAGTAGAACATGTAAAACTTCAGGCTTCAACAATCCAAAGTTCTCATCATCCTAAAAACAAAAGTTGTTTCGCTCTAAAATTCAAACTAGCATGTGGAAGCGTCTATGACGTCTGTTTGATAAGGAGGTCTGAGAGTAAGTTCCCTTTTCTTGCTAAATAATTCCACACTCATTTATATTGTATCTCGTAAAGTCACATGGTCTGAAAGTGCAAACATTCCGTAATAGAAAAGTTAAAAATAGAATGTTGAAATGTGACAGGATGCATAAGTATGTGTGAGGGCAAGCGTGTTGACCTTGTTTTCCTCCATCCACTTATCTACCCTCAAATAGTTCAGATCAATGAGAAGAAACCTTTTTTCTACTACCACCATGTACCGATATGCCTCAATAGAATGTATGTTTCAGTATTGCGAAATCACTTGGAGAAATAGCAAGAAAAAGAAGAAACAGCTATCTTTTATGTTTATGTGTCGGTTATGGCAGCAAATATCTGAAACACTCAGTTTTTTTGTTCTCTTAAGGTTGAATGAGTGAAGCGAAGATCCTCAATCCATTATCACACCTACACATTCACATGATAAAATGAATTGTTGATCCTGTTCGGAGCATAGAATTTGTTTTGTTGAACTTTTCCTTATCCAATAAGCATTCGTGCATATCCTTACATAATGCTAATAAAAAAAATATTGCATCTTTGGTCTGGGCTTCAGAAAAGGCAAAACATACTGCACATTTATCAGTCTACGTGAGCACATGTGTACCAAAACCTGTTATCATTGTACACAAATCACTCAACTTAATTGACTACCTGTCAAACACCCGTTCTTGATGACAATGTGGCTGCTAGGCTAGTTGTGAGTGAATGAGTGAGGTTATGAATGTGAATGACTGTAAATCAGCAGGGTTATCAATATAGAGAAGACTAATGCTGACACTCAGAATTCACATTCGCTTTCCCACTCATCCTTACGCTCCAATGTTGGTTTGTCTAACTTTGAATGAATTCCACCAGAATTTATCATTTTCGATATAAAAGTTTCTCACAATGTTGATTCAGATGTGCGTGTTCAACGCAGAGGCTTTTAACGTTATACTCGATTCATCCATAAATCTGCACTTAAGTCTAAAAATGCAATATTGAAATCTATTCTGGCCTCTTTTAGGTGTAGATCTTTCGCCCGAAGAAATTGGGGCCTATGAATCTCTTGGCGTATTTTTTCTACCGAGTTTCACATCAGCATCGAAGTCAAATCCGTTTAAAGACAAAAACATCATGATTCACATTGACATCTCCCCAGAATGGGCGAAATTCTGTATGGAAATCCAGCCGGAGCAGACAAAATTTGAAACCGAGAAAGAAGTTTTATTCTCATGTTACAATATCTATAAATATGTGCGAACGGAAATGTCAAATAAGCAGCGAATCATCAAACTGAATCTGATGGATTACGAGAAACACTACGATTATACAATAAACACTATCCGACATACTGCCTATATGTAAATCGACGTCATCGGCACATAAAACTTTCATATACTCTTGTGCGCATCAATTTGCCAGCGAGTACTCAACATCCACTAAAAGACCATTCCTTTGAATTGCACGATCGGTTAACTGCGAGTTCTCTTTCTCTTTTCCGTTGTTTATGTTCGATAGTTTTCGCTTTTTTCTTCCTAGTGTGCACGTCATATGGATTTCTTTTTTTCAGTTCACTACACTTGATGGATTACTCTTCTATTATGCATCGTCATCCGGGATCTGTGTGTATGGAGTGTGGGTGTGTGGCTGGGCGTTGTGTGAATGTGAGTGTTCCGAAAAAAGAGCAGCACCCGCATTCTCACCCATACTCCATTAATAATTTAAATTCCTTTTCTAATAAAAATAATTTGCTTTACCTTTGGAAAATTAACAAGTGAATTTAAGAAATAACTCTCGACCATTAATTTAAATGGTTCAATCCAGGATGGTTTTGGACATGGCTTTTCATGATCCATATTAATTGGTTTCATTGGTCTTTGAAATAAAATGACAGTAAAATCCATAACATGCATAATTAAGTGTGATGGTCGACCTAAATTTTTAAAAGTAACAATATCAGCTGATTTGATTGTTTCTAAAGCTGGTTATCCGACTTCAATTTTAGCTTCACCAGCAGCTTTATCAGCTGATATTGGATCAACAAGTACTTTAAATGAATCAGTAACACGTTGTAATTGTGCAGCAATTATTATGGCAGCAGATTCCTTTAATTTTAACATCTTTCATAACAAGATCAGCTTTTTAATTAGTAATAACTAATTCTTTTTCTTTTTCTCCTAATTCTTTTGCTAACTTTCATACTTCTTCAGCAACTAATGTAAGTTTTTTCGAACCAGTATTCATACGTTCAGTTAATTTACCAATATCTTTACATTTTTCCATAGAAAATGTTTTTATAATCAGGAAAAAATGAAAACATGATTTAGATGCTGTATATGTTTGACAACGAAATCTATTAAAATAATCAACACATGCTGCAGCTACTTGATCTTGAATTACTTTCATCAGCATAACCACAGTTTGGGGTGTGGGTGTGGCTAAATAAGTGTTCCGCCCACACCCACACCTCAAAAACTAAGCGTAAGATTGCGGTTTTTGTGATTTACAATAGAACAATGAAGAGAGACGTAAAGAGATGTAGATGTATATTATAAGAAAATAGTTTTCTCTCTTTGTATAGAATTACATGTTCTACCATCATGTGATTAATGGCAATGACCAGTTAAGAAAAACAAAAATTGTTATCAATAAAATAATAGATCTTAACAATGCAAAAATTCGAAAACGTAAAAACATCACATAATTTATCGACTTCCTTTTTTGTTCTACTTTTATTTTTCGATATAAGAATGTTAACAAAAAAAAGGGTTTTAAATTTAATATAGTTCTTTCTATCATTGATGTTGTTGAATACGAATGCTGTTAGTTCTGTTATCTTGGCTAATATGAATAGGTTTTATGATACACATTTGAACATGTTGTCTTACTTTCACAACATTCTGGTCGCTGGACACATCTACCATCGTCTGTACGATAATAACCTTCTTTGCAAAAAAATCCAGCAACACATTGTGATGTGCAGACCCTGGAGGTTTGTGGATAAACAAGATCCTTACAAGTTGATGGACATGCTGAACCACATCGTGTATACACTTCGTTGTTACGACAGTTCGGATATATTCTTTTCGCGTAACATTCTTCTATTTTAATACAAGGACTATCAACTTGATAAGACATTCGAACATATCCAGTTTGGCAAAAGCAACTAGCAACACATTGTTGTGTGCACGTCCTGCGTTGTGATGGATTCAAAAGATCTTCACAAGTTGTTGGACATGCAGAGCCACATGTCCTATATTCTGCGTGGACACCAATACAACGTCGATAGTATGAAAATCCTATGAGATCAATATTTTTCGTTAGAACAATGAACAACATGTACAAATACCTTGTGTTTGAATGGCAGAGCCTGATAGAAATAAGATTATTAATAGAGTTGCATGAGTCGACCGAGTCATATTTTTGTATCTAAATGTAAAGTTTACACTCGTTTCAAATGATTTCTCAAATCAACATACAAAAGAGAAAGACGAAAGATAAGCACGCATAGATCATACACGGATAGTGTAAATGCTCTTGATTAGAATGAAGGTTTTGCCTGCTCGTATTTTGTTCTCAACGTCTTGATGAAAAAATCGGTAAATAAGCACCTGCTTCATGACTGACGAGATAACTATTTCAAGTGATAAATCGTTTTTGAGTTCGAACTCTACCCGTATGGTAAACACATGTGAAGTATGTAAAATCCGAAATGGATAGGTCTTCCCAGCAGAGTCATAGAAAATTTATTGAAATTTTAACTTGTGACATGATATATATCAACAGATCTAGTAAAGGTATTTCGATCTGAGATATTGCCTATATAATAGACCCATTTATGATTGTAACGCTCTGAAAGTTTCAACTCGGAAGAATGTTCTCTTCTCAAAGTATTGAAGTCTAAAAAATGAATCATATTCCATGGAAAATGGTGGAGCTTTATGTTTTATTTTTGACTTCAATATCCCGAGATTGGAATATTCTTTGGAACTAAAAACTCCAAAGCATTGCAAACACAAGAAAATCTATTATATCAACTATATTACAGTTCGAAATGCCTTCATTAGATTTTTAGATGCGTAACGTACCATATGCTAAAATTTCAGTAAATTGACTGTAACGCTTCATGGAAGACTAAAGAACACTTATCCATCTCGAATTTGTCATATCTCATAGATGTCTATCTTATAGAGAGAGTTCAAACTCGAAAACAATTCCTTTATGAGTAGGCGCATTCCATATCTATGTATAGCTAAAAGAATGTTTCGAAAACGTTAAGAAATGATCGCATTATGATCAGTCGCAT